CCTTTGCTTCAAGCATGGCTAAGGTTTAATAAGGAATATTGTAAAAAAAATGCAACAGATTTAAAAACTCGATTTTTTCGTTCTCCTGAAAAGTTTGAAATTGTGACTAAGGTTGTTTTGCTTTGCAACCCTTCAATTGAGATAATGACATTGTTCTTTCTTTTGTCAACCAATATAGGCATTCCACACGTGAGATATTGTTAAGGTTATGGGTCAAATGATCGACCCATAACAAACAAACAAACAAACCAAGAGAAAAACAAGGGGTGCATGGTTTAACTATAGAACTCTGTTAAGATCGAAAAGTATTATTTGTCAAAGCGGTTCTGAATGACAACTACGTGCGGACGAGCATCTGAAGTACTGACCCATCTAATCATATACGATGGAAGATTTCATGTATCTTTTTGTATAAATGCAGGTAAAATGTGGTCTTACTTTCTGTTGAGTTTTCAAATCACATATGAAGGGTGATTCAATGTAGCTTTTGGTAAAAGTACAGGTCAACTGTGGTCTTACTTTCTATTGAGTTCTCCTGTCATATGTAGGGAGACTTGCTGTAGCTTTCGGTATAAATGCAGATGAACTGTGGTCATACGTTCTGTTGAAGTTTCACAACTCCATGCATAAGAAGGTGTAACCTTAGCTAATTAATTTGCTGTTACTGCCATATCTATTTGCTAAGACAGTATCGAGAGCAAAAATGACAATAACCTTCACCCATGCTCCCCAGCATATGCTGAGGGTGAATTTAACCTCTAAAGAGACAGTTTTGTGATTTCTTATTGTCCTGTGTCTTGTATGTAGAAAAATCAATCCTGTAAAGTTGTGGTTTATAATCAGACGATTAAATGTGCAGAACAATGGAATAAGGGAATAATGGAACATCTCCAAAGAGACATGTCCAACTACGTTTTTTCACTTTAGTAAGAACAGCTACTAATAGTTTTAATTGACAGAAGAAGAATCAGTTGACATTTACAGAGATGTAAGCAGTATCATTTTCAAGATGATCAGGTGTTGAGATGAATGGACTAAGTGAATAATGTAGCATCTCCAATGAGATATGTGCACCTATATAATTTCACCTTTGTAAGAACTAATAGTTCAAGTAACAGAAGATGATCAATTGACATTCAAACGTCTGATAACACTGGATACGCAGTGGGTGATAATGAGGTAGTTTCAGCTCTTCGTCTGCAATAGATACAATACTCTACATAGTCTAACATACACCAGGCGTGCAGTTTTGACTACAGATATATTTCAAGTCTTACATATCTACTACAAACAATGTTTGTGGTTGAAATAATTCATATTTACGCACAAAAGTGTGTATCCTTTTCTGGTTTGATACATGCATACTTACAAAAGATGTGTGCATTCTAATACTGAGCATAAGTGGTGAATCTGGGGATGGCAATACCTCATGTGGATATAATTTAATTTGGGATGTACAAAAATGCTTTTCTAAAATGGCTGTTGCTCATGATTGACAAAATAAGATTGTTCTTGCTATTGTAAACCAATGCCGTATTCCACATCCACATATCTGTTAAGGCTATGGGACAAATTATGGACACATAACCGAACAACCGACAAATACATAAATAACAAAACAACGTCACTTGTCAAGGGGTACATGGACTAACTATACAGCTATCAGATCGAAATGAATCATTTGCCAAAGAGGCTCTGAATGAAGTCTTTTTGCAGACCAGTGTACAAGTACTAACCACAGTAAATTCAATGCAGCTACTGGTATACACGTAAAGGTAAATGTGGCCTTACAGTCTGGTGAACTTTCTTAATGTTCATGTATATGAACGTGAAACTAATTATTCTGAAACCTAAGGTAATATCTATCTTTCAAGAGGCTACCAAAACCATTAATGTGAATAATTCTCACTGGTGTTCCTCATGACATGTACAATGTTTGTAATAATTGTGCGGGATGTTGTTTATTTTACTTTCCTCATTGTCATATACACAGCAGTGACAAGTAGCCTGTTTGAACATGATCTTGGAGTCCGAGGTAACACATTTGGTCAGAAAGCATGAAGAAGAAATACAATGATCAGGTGCAGCGAAACGAGAAAACGCATCAGAATTGCAAGTTTACATCCAAAGCGACTGTGCCGAATTCTGTGATGTGAGCACACCAGGGGTAAGGTCATTGCTGTAATATCCGTTGCAGCAGGTTGACGTCCCTCCAAGACGTGTTGCAATTTAGGCTACACCATCTCAGATTTGTGACTGCAACCCACGTTGACAAATTTTGTTCAGGGATAGAGTGTCAAGTACAGAGCATCGTTATTTTATTTATCTCAGTTAAACGCCTATACACTGGAGCAATACTGGCGCAGTTTCATCAAATTCAACGTGTTACGGTGAGTCCGTTGTGTTAGGTGGTGACACTCGTTATTGACTTTTCTGTATTGGGTTCCTGGATGATAACGTATGGTGCATATATATGTTCATAATAATTCATAATAATGCACAAACTACTTTCATTGATGGGATCATTTTAACATGTGTCCAACCACAGTCGGTAGTGAAAAAACAGTTCATGTCCTGAAACATAGACACATGAACTTACGCTCTTATAAGTATGTACAGTCTAGTTTTTGTGTGCGTTAGTTCGAAAATGCGCACACAATACATCTTTGGGTAATATTGTTGAGGTAATTACACAATATATTACAAATACATAACTAAGTATCATTCCCATGTTGCTAAATAATTCTTGGCATATATTATCGAGTGAACTTTATGCGATTTTCTCGAACGTCAGACCGGTCAAAACAAATATACAGCCAAGGGAGGCAACTCTGGAGAGCTATCTCAAAAGGCGTGCCGCTAAGATACTACTGCCATTGAACATATATGATGTGAAATGTGGCCCACGACCCACACTCAAAACTTTAAACATTGTAACCCAATAATAACTATCACTTAATCAATAAAATTACAAATCACAACAAACACACTTTCGTAACACTTTTGATGATGATAAATCCGTTGACGTGTTTATGCACAGCAAAACATTTAAATATGCTTTTAAATATTTAAAAGGTAAATGTCCAATGTACAAAATCAACCAACTCACCACTAATTTGTATAGCAAGTTTTAAAATGAAATATACACTTGGAAACAATATCACAACGCATATGGTTTATAACACCCTTTTAGTGATTTGTATTCATTTAATTATCATATTTGTCTGTATGATACTTTTCATATTTCAGGCGCAAAATATATTGATGTCAGATGTGCAGTGATATGATCAAGGACCAGCATCACTTGCACGCGGTAACGCTTTTATTGCAATAGTTGCAACGTTATCAAGCAAAACCGAAAGGTTGCATCTATTGCAATGACTAAGTTGTCACACCATAAAAGTTGTCCCTCGTCACGCTAAAAGTTTATCTTTCCTAAATTAATTAATAAAAGTGAAGGTATAGTCTGCTTGGATCAAAATGATACAAATGAATCACAATCTAGCTCCAAATCGGTTCGTGAAGAAACATTGAACGTAATGAAAACAGTAGACCATGATTCATAACGTTTGTCTCCAAAATATTTTTTTTTAACAAAACCTTACTGAACAAACTATCATCATTTAGATTTGATTTTCTGTGGGACGTTTCACGAGGGTAAAGTAACAGCTGAAGAACAGTCTCAAGGGCGGGAATCACGCTCAGCATTTAGAGGTTGTATCAAACTTGTCCGTACTTTCAGATTGTACACGTACGATGACTGGTTGAGTGATTAACTAGTACTGATTCTCTATTTCATTTTAAACTTTCAGAACACAGTTTTGCCAGATTGCTGACGTTATTTTACTCTTGGCTTTGTATACTTCATTTGAACGTCCGAAAGATCGAACGTGGTATTGTTGCGAACCACATCACATGTTATAATACCCCAGATAAGTTCTATTGGATTGAGATCGTAACGGTAAGGCGGTAAACATAAAGTTTCATGGCCATGAGCTTTGATATATTGATCTACCATATACATAGGTGTTGTTTTATTGTGCTTTATTATGTCATACACAACAAATTGAGTTGCTTTCGATGGAAACGGAATAACTTGTGTTTTTTTTTTTTAGCCATGCCACCATATCACTTTTCTTGCTGTTAGATGTTGGAGTTTTGCAACTAGATCATGCACGCTATGGTGCGTTGCCCATAACAATTACACTTTTGTGAGATAGTGCTGGTACCAGCAGTTTTTTCGCCCATTTGAAGAAACCTTACCCATTCATTTTATTGAGGAAATCTCTGTTGTCATTGGATTTCACCTTGACACGAGTGAACAATCAGGCAGAAACCCCACACGTTTACAACCTGCGTGTAATACAATCAGTCGTTCACCCTTGCACAATTGCAGTTTTCTGTAACATTGTTCTGCAAAGGAGCTATCTACCCACTTCGTGCTTGCAGTGTGGCTGGTGTTCACACATGTTTCATCCAAAAAACACTGGTTCGAATTATTCTTGATGTTTTCGTCGAATAGTGTGTAAGTATGCGTTGTGTAATTGCACGATGTCAGTTCTATAACGTAGCACCCGCCTCTTTTCCCACTTACCTTTGTATAACGAAATCCAAACCCATATTGGGATATAGTCAACGAATGTTCTGTCTCCATGTGTTTTGGCAAAATGCGTAAGAATATTGTAAACCAATAGTGAGTGCTTTCCGCAATCTGATTGGTTAATTACCCTTGTCGAATATTGTTCGACATACCTGAAAATGATGGCCTAATAACCGCACATTAATACGTTGGCACTAATACCGTACTATTTTCGCTGCATGAATTTGCATAATTGAGGAACATTACCACCTCAAATTCTTTCTCTGGGATTTTGATACAATCTTTGAAGACGACAAATTCTTGGAAGAATTATTCAAAGATGATGGTGTATACAATCACATGGCACATAATCATATGTGATCAGATAACAGTAAAGTGATTGAAGAGCCATAAAATAATATCCTTCAATGATGTTTATTCACAAATGAACTGCTCCGCAAATTTCAAGCATTCGAGTATTTAATTTGGTACAATATTCCAAGTTTAAAGATTATTATTCAGCCAAAGAATAAGTTAATGATACTTGTTTCTAGATAATGATCTTCCAAAATACACCAATGCCAGCACTCCGGACGTTTCCACTTCGAAATTCCAGCGCTAACGCTGACCCGGCTCCATCTTGTACACCGAGCGTCCCTCCACAGTCCCGCTTTGCTAAGGTTGATGAGAATGGCCTGAGGGAAATAATTGATGGGTCATTATCGAAAGCAACTGAGAGAAATACAATTTTCTTCAGAGGTGTGCAACGTTTAACATTTTGTAAACAAACCAAAAGGAAGTTACATGTTAGTTACCTCCCTTTCGCTAGACTGTCACAAGGCTTCTAAACAGAATTATCAAGGCATAAAAACAAATATAGTTATTATTTCTCAAAAACAGCTTTCAACAAGATTTACATCTGATCTAACACTGAATGATAATATTATGATATACTAAAATAGCAAAAAATAAATACTAATCGGTAATAATGAAAAGGTACTAATGCAGTCTAGAAAAATCCCACTGACACAAGCCCAAGCATATCAAAACAATTAAAAATGTTGAAATCTTACCTTTTGTGTCCGGTTTCATCCTTCATGTTGTACAAATCCCACATGAATCCCAATAATGAATCGTTCTTTCAACATCCGAAATCTGTCGTCGATATCTGCGATTCTGTTGGGTACACCTCACTTCAGTCACGATGCGTTGGCAAAAATTCACTGTCACAAATGATGAAAAACATCTCCAAGAATGCCAAGTTGCCACACACATACACAAATCACTGCCTTCGCGCAACAGCCGTCATTCTGCTATCCCATGCCGGAATCGAGTTGAAAGTTTAAAATCATACTGCACCGAATCCAGCAGTGTACAGAAGAGGTCGTACTCGGCCATTTTGCAGGGGTCTGATCGCCAACGCGTCGATTCTCGTGCCGTTGCCACTGTTTCATCATCTTGGCCCTTTTCACACTTGCAAAGTTCTTCAATTGTATCCGTGATGGGAATGTTTCAGGGCATACACAATTCTACCATAAATGTCAGCTTCGTTAATCGACAGTAGGCCTAACTTTACACGATCAAATCCTTGTGGTCATTCTTGATTGGACCAGTCTACGTAAGATTACATGAGGTGGAGAAGGTAGCATAAAATGGAATTCTTTCATTGTCATTGCAATTCCAGTGGTATTGCAGTAATTGAGATTGTAATGTTACTCATCAAGTTTAATTTTAAAATGACTGAATACATTTTGTTTTGTGTATTATATTGACAGTTATTCATTTCGAACATGACGTAACCTATCTCCCCCATTAGATAATAGCGTAACCCTTCTTTTGTCGTTTCTCGTATCTGGGGCGACAGCGAACTTGACCACGAGAGGCTAACCGCATTGCGACACACGATCGCGCTACATTCAAAGAACTCCTTGGAAAAAGGCTTCTCACTACAAATTGGTTTACAATATCGATAAATAGTTTGGTTTGTTCAATTTCCGGGATTCATTGGAATTCAACATAGGCAAATTTTAGCGTTTAAAACCTCCGGCTAACGCCGTCGGTTTTAAACTAAATTTGCCTATGTTGAATTCCAAATGAATCCCGGAAATTGAACAAACCAAACTATTTATCTGCTAGTTTTAATTGATTATGAATCTTAACTATTTTTTTAGTCACGATGTGGTTGATATACTGCCGCTGTGACTATAAACTTTAACTCTCTTGCTTAGTATCAGACATATATGGTTGCGAGATACATGTAGAGGATAGGTAACTGTTTCACACTACAAACGTTTTGCAGAAGGATTATAAAAGACGAGATGATAGCATTTTGGCGGCATTTACGACTGTATTTATATCTCATCAGCGTGCCCATTGTGACTGGAAACACCATACTCCTGCTACCAGCTCCAGATATAAATTCACTGACATATATTTTATTGAATTCAGATTAGATCCATTTTGTACAATTACATGTCCTCTTATGACTGTAGACATTGAAAAATTAATCATTGATCTTTGTAGTTATATTTGTCCTCAGTTTCACAATGTAGTTCTGTACGATTTGTTGGATTATCTAAAATGAAAGAGGGAAGCTTGTAAGCACTTGAGTCTGAACCAACCAACCAAGGGATCAGTACAAGAAGCAATGGTCCATCTTCCCACTGTGGTACGATACCCTGCTGACAATAAAGATACCTAGCCTCACCCTCCGACTCAATATAAAAAGTCAGCAAGAAAGTGTAACAGGCATGTTGGAGACACCACCCCGCAACCCCCCAGGGCCTTTTGGTTTACATGGTTAGAGAAATGACACATCTTTTTCTGATATTGTAACACAGCAAAAACATAATACCTTACAAAGAAATACAATCATGAAACATACACCATCACTCCACGTTCATATTGTATTAAGATACTAACCCTAGAAATAATCTAAGAGAAAACGATGATGTGGCATAATAAATTCAAGGTTTCCCTACACTATTGCACGCCTTTACTTCCCTACGCTATTGCAAACCGTTACTATGAAAATAAGATGCACAATCCCAGTGGCTAAATTGAACTATCCCGTAGATACTGAACACACACCGATAACACCATACTACACAACCAAACGTCTAGATTGGGTAAGACTGCAATAGTACAGGGAATCCTGGTTTTGGACCAGGTCCCTATAAGTCATATGTTTCTGATCTATTGCCCTTGTGGGAGTAATAATATGGTTGGAATGATGGTGGGCCATCATTCGAAGTTTCTCTCTATCGCCAGGTGTACAGCTCGAACGAGTGGATTGATAAGTGGCTCTCAGTTGCTAACCACAACCAGCAGGGTTCATAGTGTGATGGTAAGAGAGTTGGGTTCACAATACTTAGGTCCAACGCTTGAATCTTAGTGACAGCCAAAACTTTTGCGACCTAGATACCCTAGACACGTGAGGTTATGTAGGTCAAACGTTCAAACTGGAACACTTGACCGACCGAGATACCCTACTCACACTGCAGAGGCACCGCGGCTCTGATAGCTGGATGTTAAATTAAAGTCGGTGATCGATAAGTGACTCACTACAATGTCGCAAGGCACAATTTGTCTTTGATGTTGACATTGTATGTTTTCATGGACCATATTGGATCAGTAGCACGTTTTCTGCTATATCCGTCATATTCACCAGGCTGGTACAAGTACCTAACACTGTCAGGTAATGTTTTCTCTGTTATAGTGCGACGTGCTGCCGACGATTCAGTGGTGACAGATTTCATTTTGATGGCTTTGACGGGTCTCTTTGCAACGAGTCTGGTGACTTCGTTGTTGATGGCCGCCACCACTCACGGCAAACGTACAACACATTCCGTAGATCTATTTCCGGGATTGATTAAATCATGTGAGTACTGGCGTGAGAATAGGCGTGCTATTAATAAGGTGCTACTAAATCTCTCGACAATGGCTTGGATGGAGTTGGCCCCCTCTATACCGCGGCTCACCTGAACTTTGTGCTCAGCCAGCAGCTGCGGCATGGCTCCCATAAACTCGCATCCGGAATCAATTTGCAAGAGGGCAGGCCAAGTTAAGCGACTACGTTTGTATATGCGTTCTAATGTGCTGGCGACTTCGATAGAATCTTTTGTTGTTAACGGGTTGGCTTCTTTGTAGCGACTGTCACATCCACAATTGTCAGGGCATACTTATAGGTTTTATGTCTCACTCTGTCGTGAGGTAGAAACAAGATTCAGTGACTTGAACAAGAACACTTGATTCAGTGTTGCAATCTTGAATAGTCTCCTTGGGATGTACAAGCGCCGACAGGTAAACTTGCCCGAGAAGTTTCTGTTTTTGTTGACTTGGCTGTGCAGCTGATGGTCTTTGGCATAATTGTTCGTATTGTACATGTTTTTCTGATATGTTCTGTTGCTCGTCCTCGGTGTCGATTTCCATCAGTAGGGAATGCGTGTCCGTGTACAACACCTCACACTGATCGCCGTACTGCGTTTTGAGTTTGATATAATAATAGTCATACATCAAGTGTTTGGATAAGTCCAGGATGCTCGTCCCCACATAAAAAGGTCGGTTGAATTTGATGTGACTCTTGTTCATGTGCAATGCTACCAAGTTGTCACTGATTATGCTGGGCTGGCTGCTAGTTTCCTAAGTCTTTCCTCCTTGTTTGATCTGATTAATTTGACATTAACACGTTTTCTCAAATTCTCTATGGTTTTACCAAACAGGGGGTTGTTCACGAGCTTATACAGAGTCTTTTCAAAATCGCTTGTGGCCAGCTTCCGTAAATCCGTGTTCATCCTTATGTAAGGCTCCATCGAAGAACATTGATCGAACTTGAGTACCCTGTGAATTTTCTTAAGTTTCATTACTAACGACAAGTACAGCTGCAGATATCTATAGTAAACAATGTATTTTTTCTGATTCATTAAGTTTGGTACGAGTTTTTCAACATTGGTCGTTAACTTATTACTTCCCAACAAGTTTCATTGATATTTGGACATCAAATCTGGGTTCACTGTTAATTGTTCTGGTGCGATTCATGTAATTCCTCGTGATATTCCAGGTCATCTTCGAGTAAGCAACTTTTGTTTGAGTCCGGCGCAATACTATTGACGTCAATATCGGAGGAGGAGATCCATTTGAAACCCCAGGTGGGTAAAGGTTGACTCATAGCCGAGACTCATGTGCTTCGATGTTTTTCTGAATATCTCAAATACATCGGCTAGTAGCAGTACATCAGTTTTCAAGTACAGATCGTGATAGTCGCCTAAAGTCTTACAACCTATTTTATCCCACATGTTGAGGGCGTGCTCGTAATCGTCCTCAGTTATTTTCGATTCAGTTAAGTTGCTGTAAAAGCAGTCGATGTGAGGTAATTTCGTTTTGGTGAATCTAGTCCAATCGTTCATGTATTCGTAGGGGTAGACACCCTTCCTCAGTAACAAAGACTGACTTGCCGCATAGGTGTATCGATTGGTTATAGCGAAGACACCCGAGTCATTAGCATTCACTAAACTTTTGAGTGATGAGAGCAGAAATTGAACACTGTCTATAAATTTCACCGTCTAATGAAAAGGAGATGTATTTTTCCATATTGTTGGGGATGCACGTTAAGTAACAATCAGTCTTCAAGATGTCATGCATCATTAAGTGAGAATCATAGCCGCGAAAATTGTAAAATACAACAGGTATTTTTATCATTTGGGGATTTATTTTAGGCTTTTGGTAAGACTTCAGTAGTATAGAGAATGATGGTTACACGCTTAGTGACTAGCACCTCTGTATTTACCGGTAACTTGGCAATCATCTCTTATGGAAACACCATTCAGTGGTTTATCCCAGACACATGACAATTCTTAATCTGAGCATACCACAGTAGCGTTCATTTTCCCATCGCAACGAACAACCACGTTATCGAACCTGCAAGCTTCGTGTTCTTGCGTTTTGTACCTGAAACTTTGTCCGGTCATTGCAGGAGGCGTGTCGTGTTTGACCTGTTTATGAGGGCTTCGAAGTTGACATAGATGATGTAGGGTACGGGCATTTGATTTTTATGATCGATAAATTCGAGAATGTTGTCTTCATCGGGCATGTCGATTTGGACGGCCGTCTGTCCCACACCTTGGCAATCTTCGAGGTGAGATTCGAGCAGGTCGGTGTATTAAAAGCTGTGCAGCCATCGTTTGCAAAAGTGTTTCTTTCTGCCATGTTTCCACTGGTCGTACAACAGTATGCTCAGATTTTGATTGCCACGTAGTGATGGTTCTTCGTTAGGAATACATTGCGTCTTGGAATATGTTCCGGTGCGTTGCTGATCCTCTGCACGACCGTTTTGTTCCCTTCGTTTCCGAACAAGTTGATGGCTATGTGATCATTTTGTTTTTTCAATTTTGATGATCTGAGAGATGGGCATGGGGATTGTCTATGCCGTCCCTTTTAAGTCCGTCATCTTTGGGATATCTGGAAGGTCTGTCCGAATGTGCTTTGACTTGGAATAAGAGAGCTCTCAACGACCACCTCAAGCAATCGTCGTCTATATTGTTTACGTTTATCGTAGCTCATTTTTTCTTGTAGTAGGGAGTCTACGATCTGCCTTTGAACGGCATGTTATTTTGCTACATCCAGATAAACCATGTCGACTTACTCACTGCCCACCTGGAACTCATGTGTGTGTAGCGTTCCAATGATTCCTGTATTTTTTGCAGTGACGTGTCGATGGACGAATCTATGGACTTGGGTTGAGTCACGAGTTCTTGTCTGCCTCTGAAGTTAAGGCTCGACGTACTCGTTGCTGCTGTCGTCCGTGTGCTCTTCATCAAGAGACATGTTCACTTTGAGTTGAAATTTGAGGTTTCTGCCAGCCACTCAGATACGTTCCTATTGTCACGAATTGTATTTCAACGACTTTGTGTTCTTCCAGCAATGCGATTAGTTCAGCTTTGCGAAGCTTGGAGTATCCGCGCAAGCCGAGTTGTCGCGTATGGTGTTTCAGTTTCACTGTGGGCGGTTTGACATATTTAAGGTTGAGTTGAGTTGG